GACGATTATGTAAGAAAGTGGAATAAACACAACGATGATGATAGAGGGGGGTAGAAGGAGAAGCCAATAACCAGTGAGATAAATGATGAGGGAAGAAGGAAAAACTGTGATAAAGGAGTAAAGGGGGATTAAGGCAGAGAGTGATAAATATGGAAGAGGAGTTAATGTTCGTGTGGAAGAGAAGAAGAGAATTGAACGAGAGAAATAATATTGTTTTTATCTATTTCTTTCTGTTTCTCTCTATCGTCTTTTTCCTCCACTGTCTCACTTTTCTGTTTTATTTTATCCATTTTTCTCTTATTTTTCTATTCAATTTCTCTCTGTTTTTCTTCTTTTTCTCAACCTCTCTCACTCTCTCTCTCTTTCTCCCCTTCTTTCCCTCTCACTCCCTTCTCTCAAATTTTCTCTCTCTCTCTCTCTCTCTCTCTCTCTCTCTCTCTCTCTCAACACAAACACCTCCCGACGTTCAACACCCAACTTGAAGGATACAATTTTACGTTCACAAGTTTTAATTAATTCTTTATCAAACCTTTTCACTTTTACCCCGACGGACAAAACAAAAGATCATTTAACATTTTAAGCTTTTATTTAGCTTTTATTTCACTGTTTTAGATTTTATTTATATATATATATATGTACATTTACAGGTTTATTTAATTTATATATTAGGTTGGTGAGAGGGTAGGCTAGGGTAGGTTAGGTAGGTTAGGGTAAGTTAGGTTAGGTTAGGTTAGGGTATGTTAGGGTAGGTTAGGGTAAGTTAGGTTAGGGTAGGTTAGGGTAGGTTAGGGTAGGTTAGGGTAGGTTAAGTTAGGGTAGGTTAGGGTAGGTTAGGGTAAGTTAGGTTAGGGTAGGTTAGGTTAGGTTAGGTTAGGTTAGGTTAGGTTAGGTTAGGTTAGGTTAGGTTAGGTATGTCTGTTGGATGTCTGTTCACGTCCTCGCCTTGCTTTAGGTCTCTGGGGTACTCCGTGCTGTGGCTTGACAAGTGTCTGTGTTGTCTTGAGCCTTAACGTTGATACAGACTCCTGTGAATCATAACCGAGACAAGACGAGGCTAAACAAAGAGCAGTTCCTATTGGCTGTCGTAAGAACCAATCATAACCGAGACAAGACGAGGCTAAACAAAGAGCAGTTCCTATTGGCTGCCGCGAGAACCAATAACGACACGACCACCTCTAAAAAAAACACAGCATAAAACATCCATCAGTAAAGTTTGTAGAGACGGGAGATGTGACCTGAGTACACCCGTGAACACATCTGAAGAGGTGACTTAAACTCTCTCTCTCTCTCTCTCTCTCTCTCTCTCTCTCTCTCTCTCTCTCCGTGTAGTGAGTGGCAGTGAAATGATGTACACAAGATAAACACAACTACACTTCTCGTTATAAAAGTGATGCTGCCCTCCCCTCTCACTCGCTCCCCCCTCCCTCACCCTCCCTCAGAAGTTGTGTTGTTTACAAAGGGACAGATGTAAGTACAAGGAGATGCTGGTACCTTTGTTGTTGCGTATTGGAGGTTAGTTTAGGTTAGGTTAGGTTAGGTAAATACTGTAAAGGGAATTTCACAACAGTCTGTCAGGGGCCAAACATTTTAGGGAATTAGAATAACTGACCTCCACTAGAACCGTAATTTAATTTGCCAATATTCGTTTAACCTAGTTGACTCTCTCTCTCTCTCTCTCTCTCTCTCTCTCTCTCTCTCTCTCTCTCAACAACCAGAGTAAGTCCAATATCGTGCAGGAGAGACAAAGGATGATACACGAAGAGAGAGCGAGAGAGAGAGAGAGAGAGAGAGAGAGAGAGAAAGAGAGAGAGAGAGAGAGAGAGACCACACACTCAGCCATACTTGAGCCAAAGAGAGAACTCAACCATAAGATCACTCATGCCCCTTTACCTAACCTAACCTAACCTAACCCTTACCTAACCTAACCTAACCTAACCTAACCTAACCCTTACCTAACCTAACCTAACCTAACCTAACCTAACCTAACCTAACCTAACCTAACTTAACCTAACCCTAACCTAACCTAACCTAACCTAACCTAACCTAACCTAACCCTTACCTAATGTTTCCAATACATCATAACACACAGGAATATTTATGCTTTAATTAAACTCTAGTACATTATAGCATCATAAAGTACAGGTGAGTTAGAATCATTATCTTGCAACATCATAACTTTGCTGCATCGTACAACAGAGTTTATGTTCTATCCTTTGCAATATCACAACTCATGGGATAATGTATGACCTATTTTTGCAACATCAAAACATTTCTGCAACATATTGGATACATATTTTACGTCTCTTGCAACTATATAACTTCCCTTGCATGATTTAGAGAGTAAGGTTTGTTATTTTGCAACATTTCACAGTCCAATTGCCACACCACATCAAATAATATAATATTCCTTTGCAACATCATAACTAAAATACATAAATCATAATAGCTCATATGATGTCGTCTCCTTGCAACATGATAACTTTATTCCACGTTGCAGAGGAATTAGGAATGTCCTCTTGCAACATGGCGCCCGGGTCACATCAGCGTGTCGACATAATTTCAAGCATGAGTGACGGCCGGGCTACCAGAATCAATAACTACTTCCTCTGGTCACGTTGGGTGTTATTTTATGCTGTGTCATTGTTGTTGGTCAGGTGGTGGTGAGACGGGGGAGCCATTTATCACTACAGTAAATGGTGTTGTGTTCTCCGAGTGTTATTAAATCATTTGAATAATAATAATAATAATAATAATAATAATAATAATAATAATAATAATAATAATAGTAATAATAATAATAATCATCCGTCAGTAACTATGTGCAGTGTAAAGGTAACAGGGCGTCACGGCCGTACAGGTGTGTCAATAAGAGGAGCCTTAATTACCCAGGTACAGAGAGAAAAAAGTTTGGCCATGTGAACTACTCTAACACAGGGAGGGAAACGCTCTAGTTGACACAGGTATCAATTGGAAAGTCATTTGATGTTGACCAATAGGGAGAGAGAGAGACCTTGTTTGACCCGACGTTTCAATACTGGTTGGGCTCACGTCTGTTGTTTGGGTGAATTTAACGAAACGGGTTGTAATTAATGATTGTAATTAATATAGGTTAGGTTAGGTTAGGTTAGGTTAGGTTAGGTTAGGTCTAAATAGCAAATTATCTCACCGAGGGAAATATAAAGACATGATCTCACCACAGTAGCTCCGCCCCCCCCTTTCATCCCCCTAACCCCCCTTCACCCCGTCACAAGGACCCAGAGAGATTATGGAATTAATTAATATTATAAGAGATTGGTTTAAGTGGTTCAAGAGTTCCGGTTTGAGCCGCGTGGAGTTTTAGGAGCAGGATAATATTTTCGTCTAGGTATAATATTCCTGTTCTATTTTATTTCTTTTTATTTATTTATATATTTATTTATTTATTTAGATTTTATTTATTTATTATTTATTTTTTTAATTTATTTTTTTTATTCTTTTTATTTTTTTTTATTTAAGATTTTTTTTTATTAACGATTGCTGTAAAATTCAGGACCGCCAGAGTTGAATATTTTAACCTGAACATTATAACAATCCAACAGTTATTGTAATTGTTATGGAGTTAATGTTTTATAGAGACTCACAGGTGATTAAGAGCTAATGACAGGTAAATTAGACGTCTACTAACCTGGTTTTACCTGCTGTGTGTAGGTGTTGTGATGAGATAGTGAGTAATGGTGATAATTATATTGATACACACCTAATCTGTCTTAACTTAATCCATCTTAACCTAACCTAACCTAACGGAGAAAAGAAGAAAAACGGAGAGAGAGAGAGAGAGAGAGAGAGAGAGAGAGAGAGAGAGAGAGAGAGAGAGAGAGAGAGAGAGAGAGAGTTCACAATTTCTTCTCATCTTGTGGTAGGCCAGGAGACCATTGCGCCTCGTCTGATCAGAAACTTCTTTATTGAAATTCTTTAAAATTCTACCACTTTATTGACATTTAGTAGATCCTCTTCACCCCACCATTCTACCTTATCCCCCTTCCTCTTAACTTTCCTTTATACCCCTATTTTACCTCTTTAGGCCTCTTAACCTCTTCTACCCTTAAGGAAAAAGTGGAGAAAGAGGACCAGAGAGTGAGGAGGAAGTGGGTGGGAGTGGATGGGAGGTGGGTGAGGTGGATGAGAGGAGGGTGGCTGAGTCAAGGTGAGAATTGCTGAGGTGGGTGGGGAGGGTGGGTGAGGTGGGTGAGAGGGAGGGTGGGTGAGGTGGGTGAGAGGGAGGGTGGCTGAGGTGGGTGAAAGGGAAGGTGGCTGAGGTGGGTGAGAGGGAGGGTGAATGAGAGGGAGAGAAAAGTCGAGAGGGAAGAATAATAAGTACGAGGGACTGAGAGTGAAGGAGAGGGAGGAAAATTGAGTGGAAGGAAGGGAGAGAGGGAGTTAACTGGAGAGGAGGAGTGATTGAACACGAGAAGGGAGAGAAGTTAATAAAGGGAGAAGAGAGACGACAGACAGTGATAGATAGATAGATAGATAGATAGATAGATAGATAGATAGATAGATAGACAATACAATGAAATAATTATTGATGGAAATAAATCTTAATTAAGCAATTTTTTTCCCTTGCAGGTAAGTCATGTTATTGTGTGTGACGTAAGAGTGACGTCAACAATCAGCTGGTTGGTGATGATGACGTCATGAAAATAGCTGAATGGTAGGTGTTGTTTTGTTTACGTTGTGTCAGAGGGCGAGGGTCAACATTGTACCGTGATTTATAATGCGTAGTTACTCATTATTGTTGTATTGAGGAGTTTATTACGTAGTTAGGAGTGTTTGTGTTGGTCAGGTGATGTTGTGACTTAATTAGTGAAGGTGAGTTGATGAGGAGTCTCTCTCTCTCTCTCTCTCCATCATTTGAAATATTTTATAGAGAAAAGTTCTCTCGGTATGATTGTTTAAGAGACAGTGAGAGAAGTTTTTAAGAGATCATGGTGAAAGTATCTCATGGTGGTAAGGCTACTGACCTGTGTTGAGCTAGAGGGTGGTGGTGGTCACGACCTGTGAGATGAAGGTGACCTCCTGGTCCTGCAGGTCCACACTGAGGCCATTACAGGTCTGTTCCTCGGGCGCCTTAGTGTACAAGACCACCGGGTGATTACAGAGCGGCAGGGACTTCAGAGACCCGCCCTCCTTGCCGATCCTGCTGGTCTTGAGACTGTTCATCCTGGAGGCGTTGGTGACGACGGGGCAGCAGGGACACACCACCCCGAAGATCTCCAGGAACTCCTTTCTGAAGTTGTCATTGAGCCACCCGTAGAGGAGCGGGTTGGAGCACGCCGAGGACATCCCCGCCATGTGACACACTGAGTACACGATCAGCATAGACTCTGTGTCCTCGCCGAAGGGGTTATGGAGATCGACGATGACGTTGTAGAGGTTGAGCGGCAGCCATGACAAGCAGAAGATGAGGGAGATGGAGACGAGTAGTGTGTTGGTCTTCTTCATCCTCAGGTCTTCCTTTCTGGAGCGCGCTGACCTGCTGGAGGCGTTGGTCATCCTGTACTTGAGTTTGTTACAGATCCTTGCGTAGGCGATGCTCACCGTCAGTATAGGCAGACAGTACTGTACCAGGATGACGAAGACGCTGTAGTAAGCGCGCCCGTGTTCGAAGGGCCAATCCTCGAAGCAGAATCTCACCACTTCGATCCCCGGAAGGTTGACGTGGTGGGTCTCCAGCGTCCGCCAGATGAAGTTGGGTAGCGCCAGCAGGAAAGACAACAGCCACACTACCAGCAGGCTGCCCACCGCCCCAACCTTCTGCAGCGACTTCTTCGTTGGATACACAATCACCTGCAGGAGATCAAGAATAACTACGTGTTAGGTGTGTGAGATCATTAACCATGACAGTTCGTCCCCCTGCATTAACTTCCCCCCTGCAGTCAGTTCCTACCCCTGCAACAAGCCCCCTGACTGACATGTTGGAGACAGACCTTGATAAAGATTGTAAGAGGGAGAATAATTCAGAGAGACAGAGAACAGAAGGAATAAGGGAGGAAGAAGCATGGAGGGAGATTTTGACCGGAGAAGACAAACATAAATGCAATAAATATCCGTGACAGTAAGAGGCAAAATGATTAAGGAAGAGGAATAAAGGATAACAATAAGTGACGTAATAAATGAAGAAGAAGAAAGGTAATGAATAAATTTGGAGGTAAAGAATTACGTGAATAACGAATGACAATGGGAAAAGAAGGAATATTTGAAGAACACGTAGATAGAAATGATAATTAAGTGGATTATATAGATGAAAATATGGATAGATAGACAAATAGAGAGATAGATGGATAGATCAATAGATTCATACATGTATCGCACTCATTCATACATATAAAATACATACATACATACATACATACATACATACATACATACATACACGAAGAGGCAGGTAATACATTAGACCTCGCAATATTCAACATTCCACCTCCACTAATTCCCTTGACCTGACCCCAAGGAAAGGTCATGACCTAATGTGCCTTACTAACACAACCTAACCTTTAACACTATCTTACCAAACCTAACCTAACCTACATAAATCAAATTGCTGGACTTAATTTAGAAAAAATATTAATAATCTTCGGGAAAATTAAATTAGTATAGTATAGGTTGTTATAGGATGGATCCATTTTCTCTCATAAATAGAAAATGGGAATCGTGTTTTTTTTTAGTATCAATTAGCGTAAATATTTAATTAAGGGGACTGGTGTAAGTTCAAAAGCAAGAAGTCATGAGAGAGAGAGAGAGAGAGAGAGAGAGAGAGAGAGATATATATATATATATAATACTGTATACCGACAAACCAAGAGACGGAATAAAACAGAAAAAACAATAAAACTAAAATTAGAAAAATATAAACCCCACCCCGAAAAAATTAATTAATTTAGGTAAAAGATGATTATTTTTTTTTTCACCCCTCCTTAACTTCACCCCGCCAGGAGAAAGCTTCACTCGGTATGGCTTCCTACTTTAATATCGTCTCTAAACTTTTTAAACTTTTATCGTCTACTTTTTTCTTCATTTGACACAACGGACGAAGAGACGAGTGAATTATTGCTATTTTTTTGTTAGTTTTATAGTTGGTTATTTTTTTTGGGGGTGGGCTATTTGGTGGAGTTTTGGGCTATTAGTGATAGTTGTGGCTATTTTGTAGGCTATGTTGGCTATTTTCAGTATACAGGAGGGAGGGAAAAGTGAGAGTGAGGGAGAGAGAGAGGTAGGAAAAATAGGGAGGGAGGAAGGGAGGGAGAAAAGAGAGGGATGGAAGGAGAAAGGAGGGAGAAAAGAGAGATCGAGAAAGGAAGCGAAAGAAAGAGGGAGAGGGAAAAGCAAGAGACAGGGAGGAAAAGGAGAGGGAGAAGGATTCTGAGATGGAAGGGAGGAAGGAAAGATAAAAGGGAGAATAATAAGGGAGGAAGTGATGGGAACAGAGGAGAGCATTTCTGTGTAACATGGCAGGTTTATGGCCCTCCCTCCCTCCCCTCCCTCTCTCCCTCTCCCTATCCTCCTTCCCCTCCCTTCCTTAATGTTTCTTGTTTGTGGCCGTGTGTGTGTGTGTGTGTGTGTGTGTTATTATCATCATCATTACCACTATTATTACACTCATTAAGCAGCACCATCACCTCCTGGGGCACAGAACACCCTCATATAAACCAATACGGTGTCGTGTTAAACCATACACACACACACACACACACACACACACACACACACACACACACACACACACACACACACACACACACACACACACCCACACACACACACACACACACACACACACACACACACACTCCAAAGCCCCATAAGTGCATCAATATGTCATTCACACGCCCTCTAAACACACACTTGGCAAATATCATCGTTTGTGTTCCCAGAGGTGACAGGTAAAAGTGTGTTGAAAATTGTGTTGCAAGTTTCCGATGTTGCAGAGGGTGAATGAGCGTAGACTGTTAGGTAGACGAGGTTGAGTGTATTACAGTTTGTTATTATTGTAATGTGTGTTATGGTGTGTTGTGTTATATATTATGAAACACACACACACACACACACACACACACACACACGAGAACTTATATTATTTGTTATTGCGTTGTCTTCCAGAATATTCGAATAATAAAACCACAGGTGCTTCAAATATGGTGTGTGTGTGTGTGTGTGTGTGTGTGTGTGTGTGTGTGTGTGTGTGTGTGTGTGTGTGTGTGTGTGTGATACGATTCTGAAGGAAAAGAACAAATATTTCCTGGAATCCTGGACCACAGCTTGGAGTGGATCCTGGAATGCCTTAGACTCAACCAAGGACACGTCACGTTTGTTGAGTTTTAACAAAATTCCCGGATGCATCGAGTCAGGGAGGTCGACCATAAGTTTGGGAATTTGACGAGAAAATTCCAAGCAATACTTCTGGAAAACCTTTGAATTTAAGCTATATTGGTGATTTACGGAACATTGATAATTTTAGGTCTTTTGATAATTATAGGAACATTAATAATTTTAGGACATCGATAATTTTACGACATATTGATAATTTTAAGAACTTTGCTTTTCCAGGATAATTTTTTATAGTATCCATAAGTTTTGGTAGAATTTTTATATGACTATTTTTTTTAAAGGAACAAAAGGAAAAAGAATATTGGTGGCTGGTTTGGTGTGTTGGTTGGTCGCTTACTGACACTGAAACATTTACCTGAGACTCTTGGGGGGGTTACCTGAGACTCTTGGGGGGTTACCCTGAGACTTTTGGGGGTTACCTGGACTCTGGGGGGGGTTACCTGAGACTCTTGGGGGGGTTACCTGAGACTCTTGGGGGTTACCCGAGACTCTTGGGGGTTACCTGGAGGCCTTTGGGGGAGGGGGTGAGAGAGGAGGTATTTTAATGTATAAATGAATAATATTTTTACTAACTTGACTTAATCAGATTAATTCTTAGGTAAGTTAATGTAGTTGGTGTTCGGTTCTGTGTTATGGTGGTAAACGATGCTTTAATTAGAGGGAATTGTATCCTATATAACTCAGTTTCCATTAAGTTGTTGTAATGGAAGTACAAATTTATCCCGTTGAGATTATGGTTTAACCTGGCAATTATACTATTTTTTACCGCAACACACACACACACACACACACACACACACACACAGGAGTATTTTAACAAGAATAAAACAGTAAAGCACCAGAAATGGTTACCTGTAACTAGGAAAGGCCACTAATTAGTCCAGGTGCGCAGTCTCCATATTTTCAAAGTCTGTTCCGTATTTTTGAACGTGGAGGTCCAATTAGAGGTGGAGAATGATTGGGGGAGGAGGTGAGGGGGAAGAGGAGGCATGGGGGGAGTGGGGGAGAGGAGGGGAGAGGGGAGGTCTACCTGACTTATTATAATAGTCGATGTCAATAATAATAGCTCTTCAAATTTGATTAACTTGTAGATGTGAGCAGGTGAACTGGTGAACAGATGAACAGGTCAACAGGTCAACAGGTGAGCAGGTCAATAGGTGAGCAGGTCAATAGGTGAGCAGGTCAATAGGTGAGCAGGTCAATAGGTGAGCAGGTCAACAGGCGAACAGATCAACAGGTGACAGGTCAACAGGTGAGCGAGTATTGAGCCAGATGTCTCAGGAGGGTTGAGGAGGGAAATTATATTAAAGATATTGGTAAGGCTTGAGGGTCCCTTACACCAGTACTCTCAACACCACCCCTGGCTCTGGTACAATACCCAGGGGAGTAATTCAATAGAGTTCGAGGTCAGGTCAAGGTGTAATGACCTGTAATGACCTGTCTTCATTGGTGTGTCGAGCGGGGGAAGAATTTACGAAAATTCGCTGCCTGGAATTTGCGTGTTCAGTGTATTAGCGATAATGTGGGAGTTTAGCTGAGTTAGGAAGATTTTAGCTGTAGGGAGGAGGAGTTTAGCTTTGGTGGGAGGAGTTTTGATTGAGGTAGGATGAATTTAGCTGTAAGGAGGAGGAACTTAGCTGTAGGTAAGAGGAGTTTAGCTGTAGGTCGGAGGAATTTAGCAGGTAGGAACAGTCTAGCTTTAGTAGTGTCAGGCAGGGAGGAAGGGAGTCAAGCAGGAAGGCAGAAAGGCAGGCAGGGCAGGAAGGCAGGCAAGCAGGAAGGCAGAAAGGCAGGCAGGCAGAAAGGCAGGCAGGGCAGGCAAGGTAGGCAGCCAAGCAGGAAGTCGTCAGTTGTATTCACGCCTTCTAAATCAGCCGGAGTGGAGAGCCCCATAATCCAGAAAATGATTACTGGGTCGTGGGCTGCACTCATGTCTCCAGCGACGGCGGCGGCTGCAAAATGTGTCTGAGAAACTGAGAACGTAGCTTGAATTTTAAGACCAGGGGAACTCTTTTCCTCGTTCGTGAAAGAATTCTCTGTGTGAGGTACTGGACGTTCATTTTCGATCAGGGACTGTTTGGATGGTGTTTGGGTGGTGTTTGGGTGGTGTGTGAGTCGTGTTTATTTAATACTTTGGTTGACACACACAGTTTAATCCCTAAGACCACTGGATTCTCGCTCTATCGTTTCATCTCCCTCTCACACGTTCAGTTTGATGCAAGGGTCACCGAGTTCTCCTCTCCTAGTTAGGGCATCACAAACACGCCTCCTCACCCACCCACTCAGCCACTCACTCACCCACCCACCCACCCACCCACCCACCCGCCTACCCACCCACCCATCCATCCTCTCTCTCTCTCTCTCTCTGTGCTGGTAGTGTTTCGGACGATTTATTTTCTGTGAGATGAGTAGAGAGCGACAGAGTGTGTGTGTGTGTGTGTGTGTGTGTGTGTATGTGTGTG